TCTCCTGCCAACACACCCTAAAATAGACTATTTATAAATAAAGATTAAAAAAAAAAATTTAAAAATTAAAAATTAAAAATTAAATTAAATTATTTTTTAATTTTATTATTAATTTAATTTTTTTTTTAATTTTCATTAATTTTTTTTTTAATTTATTATTTTTTTTTATTAATTTATTAATTTTTTTGTTTTTAATAAAAAAAAACACACTGTGAATAGTATATAATTGCTTAAATATAATAGGAAAAGTTTTAAAGATCCTATTTATAATCTAGTACAGGGATTGATTTAGATAACGAATATTATTAGGAGTCATAAAAATAAGCATTTTATTATGACCAATAGTAGTATCATTAATTAAGAAGTCTGCTCTATCTAAAGTTTTTCTTAGATACTCAGGGATAATAAGACTCTCTAAAGATCCTGGTTCTGTGAGAAGGTTGAGATAGCAAATCCTTTGAATAGTTTGCCTAAGAGTATTGGTTGATGGAAGATATAGATATATGTATTGAGAGCTGTTAGCGATCGCTGTTTGCATAATCTGGGCTGGCTTATCATTTGTTTGTTGTGCTTGTTCCTTAATCCTAGTGATTGTCTTTACAACTTCTAGTCTGCTCATATTAGCTAAATGATTATGGCCTGACTAGAGTTTCAATCCGGATAAATCTGTTATCCATTTATCCGCATTGCTATATCTGGATATCCATCCTTTTAGGTCGGATATCTGAAACGGATTAACCAGATCATCTGGAGTATTAGAAAGAATCACTCTCGTATCACTACTCTAAAAAATTTTGCAAGCTAAACAGACTTCAAGATCGGGTATAATACAGAAAAAACATGAAAATCAAAACAAACCAAAAAATCATTTATAGCTCAACAACTTTCCTCTGCATACTAACCAAAAGTTCCTCTTGTAAAATTTCAATATTAAGAAAGCCCTTTCTAGCCTGACTTAATAGCGAAACCTAACCCTATCTTAACAGCAAAATTTTGTTTAGCAAAATTTTTTAAGGTAGCGATACTAGAGTCTTAATTAGAAACATCTAGTAAAAAATTAACAAATTGATTGCTTGGCCGATTTGGTAAGTTTTGATTTGGCAGTGTTAAGCTTTTGGTTTTGGGTGTGATTCACATATAAAACAATATATTAGACCAAATATAATGCTCTAGAAATATGCTTAAAAATGTCTATGACTAATAAATAGTGTGTTATTATCCTATTCGATTATAACAATATACATTTATTGTTTAAATAAAAAGTTTAAAAATAATAATCATTATAATTATAATAATAATAATCATTATAATTATTTTTTTTTTTTTTTTTTTTTTTTTAAGGTGAGGCCTTGCTCATATTTTTATTAAGTAATTTATATAAGTAATTATATAAAATTTATGAAGAACTTAATTTGTATAATAACAAATAAATATAAA